TCCATTATGACCAGCGCCGGACACAACACACACCTAACCATTAGCCACACGGCCTCCACGTCTAGTCCGGGCAGTGATGTCCAGCACCAACACCCGCACCATCAGCACAACAGCAAACGCCAGCGACGGCTCACCAGCGCTGATGATAATAACGATGCGGACAAGAGTTCCAGTGATTTGCAATATTACGCTCAGTCGTGGCAAACGGCCGCCGATATGGACCACGTGTCCGGCACTCCGCCTCACCTCCACATATCGCCACACGTGAAGATCAAACAGGAATCGGTTCCCGGAGTGAACCAACACTACCACTGCTCACAATCACCTAAAGAGATGTCTAATAAATCGATGTCTGATTCGCATCACAGGGAAGGTATGAAATCGACTTACTATACATAAATCTCATATATATTTAATTATTCTCTGATAGTTATTATTTAATAATTTATAAATATTCTAACAATATGAATTTAGTCTATGTAACTCTATAAACCTATATTGTCTACTATATTGAGGATTCACTATAGCGTTTCACATCGAAAGAGCCGCTCTTTGTACGAGAGAGAGAGAGAGAGAGAGAGAGAGAGAGAGAACACAAAAGAGAAATAACTAAATAAATACAAAGTTAGAGAACACACACACTATGTTTACAAATACAATGTATAGCCCGCGGCGTCTATACAGGTATCGCAACGAGTATTACAACACATAAAAGACAAAGTCTTTAATTGACAAACTTATTGATGAAAAAACGTGAGCCACTCGTCAGACTCGAGCTCACAATTGCCCACAAACTGTTCATTTAGGCAAACGTCTCAACACATGCGACAATGTCTTTGACAACAACCAAAAAGTCTTGTCTTTCTTTTTCTCTCTCCTCCTTCACTCTCTTTTCTCTCTTTTCTCTGTGTTTTTGATTATTTTCGGGCAAAAGAAATACAAAAAACAGGTATGAAATGTATATATAGTTTTGTTGCGGACAAAACTATGGCATCACTTCAATTGTCACACCATTTGATAGCATTTGACACTCAATTTTTGTGCCCCTTTTTTGTGTCCTCTCTTTTCTCTCTGTTTAGTCGCCGTTTTTCTTGTGTTTTAAAGTTTATGTCGAGAGATAAGAGAGAGAGAAAAAGTGAAAGAGAAAAGAAAAATTATTTCACTCATCAAATGTGATGTTTGAATGAGAGAGAAAGTCATGGACTACTGAGTCGTGTGTTTGTGAGGGGACGGGAGGATAGGAAAGGAGGAGGAGGTGGGCTTCGGATGCCATATAACTATATGTCACTGTTGTCTGCAAATATCTTATTACATGTGTTTTTAGGAAAATAAGGTTTTGTTTTAAAAGCAAAAAAATTGAAAACTTCTCTTCTTTTGTCGGATTGTTTTCTGTCATCCAATTCACTGACTCTACACTTACTATAAAATTCATTTACTTTTGCCGCCACAGAGTATATGTCAGTAAATTGGTACTATTTCTGCATAATATATTAGATTTAATCATTTTTATTAAAATATGATCAAGTACTGCACATTTTACTTAAATAGTTAACATGAGCATTTGACAAAATCCTATTCATTCATTAAATCAATTAATTTGAGTGCATATCGTGTGAGAGTTATTTGAATTACAATGAATTGGGTCTTAATTTCACACTTACTATACTATTAGGTGTGAAATTAATTGATCTCTCAAGCGATACAACTATTAATTACAACAACTATTAACCAATTTATTCATTAAAGTTAAGCAATGGTTCAGAGATTTTTATACACCATTTGATGCACAATAAAATACATATAGTTTTAATTAAACACAACTAACTTATAGTGAATCATATAATCAAATTAACATAGATGTTTATAATATAGTTTAAAGATAATTAAATAAAATGTACAATTAATCACATGATCTAATTGAAAGGTATGGCAAATCAACTAAAAGACTCGTATATATCTCACTCACACTCACCGGTGCTGAACGTGACCACATCGTCGGGCGGCATATCTATCGGTCAGCTATCGTCACAAAATGCCTACTATTCTCTGCCGCCGGGAAAATACCAGGAAAACGGAGACACACTCTCGGACTTTGTGAACCTCGTCTGTCAGGAGGCACAGAATAATGGCGCCGGACCTCAGGTACGGCACACTTTCCTACACACAATCATAACTTTATTCAAACAAAGTATACATTTTTAATTTGATAATTATTTTAGGGTTCGGTGAGTGATATGGATCCGAACCGGAGTCCAAAGCAAATGAATTCGTCGCACCCGCACCACAACCCGCACCATCACAACCCCCACCACCAGCCGTCGCACCATTACTATAACACATCGATATCAATGCTGCCGCCGCCACCGCCCGCCCCAATGGCTCGACCCGTTCCTATCATTAGATCGCCGATCGAGTCGTGTTCGCCCGAAATGGTCATCCAATCGTCGCCGAGTCCGCCGATGAGCGCCAGAGGGCTGCCCAACGGCGCCCACGACGGCGGCCCGGGTTCGGTGGCCAGCGTTGTCGTACACCACGTGAGGGGCGATCACAACAACAACAACGGCGATGATATACGGGTGTCGTCACCGCAGACCAGTGTCTCAGCGATGAATGTGTGCGACAGTATTGTGTCGCCGATCAACCGATCTGTGATGAACAGCCCCTACACGACACTCGGCCGACACGACCATTCATTCGCTCACGTCTCACATCACTCGGTCTCTCAGGTACGCAAACAGCACTAGTATTCCCGGTGTTAGACCCGGGGCTGGGATTACATGATTTTGGTAAACTAACTAACAGTGGCATTGATATACACAGCTGTTTACATATCCGCCAATGAGTCAAGTGGGGGCGATGTCGGGTGTGATCAGTCCGACCAATTTGACCATGTTCACGTCGCCGGTCACAACGCCCCGGTCCACCCCGCGTACGACACCAATACCCCGATGGAATACGGGTGCCTCGAGTTTCATGCCTTTGGACGAGAATCTAGACTACGGAATGATGGCCGGACTCATGCCTAGCGGTGCCACTGATGTCGATCCGCCGCATATTATTGGCGCCGAAGGTATGGTATAATTCGCTCTTTGCATCGCTTTCTCTCCGCTTACAACACATTTACAGTGATTTTTAAGGCATTCATTATAACATTACTATCAATAATGCAATACAAAAAATCAAATGCGTTAATCTTAATGTGTTTTCTCTATGACTACCAACTGTTTAGTGATTTAATATGCATTTTTAGAGCACACTTTTCGCAGTCTTTTAACGCTTTTTCTGTTTTGAAAGTGAAAACTAAATTCTTTGCCATCCATTCACTCCATTCACTCCTTTCACTCAAATATATTCTCACATCTATTTAAAGACCGATTCTTTTCTGTGGTTCACAGTCCCGATGACGGGACAGTCGGCCCAAACCTATCGCATGTAAATACGGGCTCCGGTTCTGGTGGCGGTCCCGGTAGTGCTGGTTCTGGTTCTACACCGCCCACGCCTACTAAATCTGTGCCCAATTGAGTCATCACTCATTGAGTTTAATTAATTTAATTACATTTTTAAATTTCTGTTTTATTCTTACTCTTTGTTTGTTAAAAAAGGAAACTTTAAAAAACACATTGAATTCAATTCAATGAAAATGAATTTCTATGAAAAGACAATGAAATGCCTGAAAAACACGAAATGATTTTAAGGATGTATCAAATGATGAGAATATGATATACAATACTATTTTTGCTCATTTGCTCAACACTTTTGCTGACATTTTATTCTCGGAGAGAGTTTTTCTCTCTCTTCCTTTTTCTTCACTTCTATCCCTATTTTTCTTGTTTTCTATTTTTGAAAACTTTTTTTAATTCCTATAAAAATAGTGTTATTTCTAAACAAAATGTTTAAATATAAGTCTTAGACTATAGTGTTATAAATATCAAGAGAAACACATAAATAAATTATTGACTAAATCATTTGCTAATTGATTAAATCATTAATTAAATTAATATAAACACATTAATCCATAGCTACCGGTGTTTTTTGAGTGGACTCTGGGGTCACAGACACAGAGAGTGAATGAGACACCGATTCAGAGCATCAATACGTATTCGCGAAGGCATTATATAACACATTGAATGATGTTTTTTGTCGTTAAAACCTATTTATAAGATAATAATTGATAAATCAATTTATAACTCCACAACAGCTAACCAGAGATTTGACATTTAATTAATATATATATTGTTTTATTATATAATTATATAAATAATAGATATGAAAAAAGTTTTTTTGTTTTCCCTTTTTGTTAATTTGTTATTTGAAATGATATTTCACTTTTTAATTCAAACACTCATTTAGTTGTTCAGTCATTAAATGATTTTATTGACTAATTATTGATTTTAAAAAACTATATAAATATTTGTAGAGTAAAGAAATACACAAATGTTTTTAATGTATTAAATAATGGTTTTTGTTTTATTTATTAATTTTCAATTTTAATGAGATATACATTAAGAAAAACACATAATTTTCAAAACTAATTTCTCATTACAAACAAAACAATTCTCACATTATTTGTCAAAACGTAACATAAAGTTTATTATATAATTTAGTGCAACTTTTTCTCCCCCTAATTGTGGCCACTCTTTACTATTCATTAAATACATTATACAAACGTAACACAAAAACCATATGCAAGACAACAGCAAACGCTTTGATTTGTTTGATAATTTATTTTTAATTATGTTTTATTTTATTTTTCAGTTAATTGTTTGCATAAAATATATCAAATGAATTGTAGATAACTTATTATCCAGACATACATTAATTGTTAATTCGTGTAATTAATCTATGCTTTAATTTTAAGTTTACATTTTTACCAATTTGCTATTAGATTATGATTTAGCATTGATATGATTTCAAAAGCCCATTCACTGCCCAATGTTTAGCGCAAACAATATTAACTATAATTTTTGTTTAAGTCGTTCACACAATCTCTTCATTCATTTTTATCGACACTTATTTTTCATCAAAAAATCCTTTTAAAGTCCTTTTAGTATACACTTGGAGTCAATTTTGAGTTGTTTTTATAGTAATTTTAAATTCCATACAATTTATGGCTAAAACACACACAAAAATAATATATAAATATAAGTAACGAATGAATACAGAATTTTGTATAATTAAATAGTTGTCACCAAATAATAAGACATTTCTTAATCTTTGATTCAAATTCTTTGATTTCTTATACTTTTAATTACTTCTAAACTTTCAAAGAATTTTCTGTTTCTTATCAGAAAATATACTTAATTTCCTTCACTTAATTATAATTTGAATTAAATTTATTTCTCATTGAAAAGAAGTGCAAAATTTGATTTTGTTTTTCAATAGTCTTTTCGGTAACTATTTTGTAATGTCTCAGAAAAACAAAACACGATATCATTAGAGATATCTTTATTGAATACTCTCTTTAAAGTTTAAACTGTTTTCAAATGTCTGGTCATTCAATATATTTCTAATTGAAGTGAGGGGTCAGTCGTTGTCTTCGACCACATCTATCTGTGCTGTCATTAATTTGTATTTTAGAAATTTAATTATTATTTACTAAATATTATAAGTTATTTCAAAATTGTCACCAAACACACATAAATACACACAAAACTTCAATTGTCAATAAGAGTCTAAATCATGAAGGTTCAAATTGTATGAGCACGATGTTAAGCGTGCACTTATTGGTACATCTTGAACCTCGATGGTCTAAATCATCCCGGTGAAATAGTACACATACTATAAATTATAGTATATTCTAACATGATAAATATAAATACATTACATATACACGCATAAGATTTGAAATAAACGATGATTTAATTATTAGTTTACAAATAATTGTTTTTTTTTGTAAAAATTGCTTTAATAAAAATTTATGTATAAAATTATACAAATATATTAATAATAATATCAGAAAATATTGTTAAATAAA